ATCCTACCTCCCTCTGTCCCCCAAGGGCTGAACTTTTGACTTTTAACCTAGTTAGGAGCCATGAAAAACCATGCAAGTGATAAGGCAGAACTTTTAAACCTCACCCAATGAGTTGCTTCTGAGAAGCTCCAAGCCCCAGGTCTGGGGTATGTTTTACTTATTTAAGCCTCTATTGAAATACCTTTAACACAATCTCCACCTCTGCTTCATAAGCTGGCTAGCCTGGAATTCTTTTCAGCATCAAAGCCTGGTGTGATCTGAGGTTAGGTCCTTAAAACTAGGGGAACTTCTCAGGCTGCTGAGAGTGACAGCTAGGAGCCATGCCTCTTGCCCACATGTCCCCCAAACACGAAGTAAAATAAAGACGCAAAAGTAAAATGAAAATGTGGGATTGGAGACCTTGGTCGGCAACCTGAAGAGATGCGAGCACCACAGCATCCCACAAGCCTGCAGCAACACTAGGAATCTGAAGGCGGAGCAGAGGCTCTGTTCCATGTGGGAACAGTCACCCTCTCCAGCAGATCACGTGATCCAGGAGGTCTCAGGGAGAGGGGAGAAGCACAGGCTTGGAAGCCAACCACCCTGGCCTGGAACAACCTTGGAAACACTTGACTCCTTAGCTAGAGTCTTTCTTCACTATGTACAAGGTTGGACCGATGAATACTACATTAAAAAATTGTCTAGGGGATGTGTCATTCACCTGTCACATCTACCTGTCACATCTACCCCATAGAAGATGGCTGAGCTTAGGAGTGGCAAAACAGTAGTCAGCAGGCTCAGACAGCAGACAGGTCTGCTGAGCAAGACACTTCACTGAGGAAAGTGGGGGAAGATTCAGGGACTTGTTGCAAGGGCATAAGGTACATTCTAAAGACGTGACTTATCAGGCAGAAGGAAACACAGGAAAGATGCTGAAGGTATATGGATGGGGTCTCAACGTCAGGTCCTCCTTGTCCACTGTCCAAGAGAAAAACAAGCAAAACCTCCGCTCCCAATGAGCCTAGAATAGGGCCAGCCTGGCCTGGATGCAGCCGATACGCAATGTCCTCCCGTTCTGACCGAGGGTTTACCACGCCAGCCCAGTAAAACTCGTATCAGGCATAGGAATGACCTAGCACTTGCTGTCTACTCTGACATACTGTGAAGCCTGAGGCCACATAGGAGGTTTCAGAGTGAGAGGGGCGACATGACTAGGCTCCAGAGTAATCCCTGACGCTGGAGGCTGCAGCCCTCCACCCTGCAACAACCATGCATCTCTCTGTCTCGCCAATCTAGCCTTTTACACAGCAAGTCTGCTCCTGCTGCCGTGACCCCCTCCCCGCACCCAATCCTGACAGGGATAAACAGAAACATCTTCCAGTACCGTGCGGGTTGCTTTCAATTGTCAGAGACAGTCTGGTCTGTCGGACTAGAGTCCCGAGGCAGCAGGCGGTTTAGTTTTCATTTAATGCCTTGGAAAGGGAAAACTGAGCTAGGACGAGAAGGTGCGCACCGCCTCGTCCTCGACCAACCTGGTCCAGACCGCGTTCCAGGAGCCCGGCGCCCGACTGTGGGTCAGCCCCGCCAGGAGCGTAGCCCGCTAGCCCCAGCCGCCCGCCGCACACTCACCGCCTCCTCCGCTGCCGACTTCCGGGTGCCGCACCCGCGCGCCTTAGCGGCCAGCCCAGGACCCGCCCGGCCAGCCGCCAGAGCACTCGCTATAGAGCGCAGCAGCGAAGGGCAGAGCGGCAAACCCAGAGCCGCGGCCTTGTTGGTTATATGTGCTGTCGCTCAGAGACACAGCGCTCCGCCCCCGTAGCTGCGCCAAGACTGGAGATGCCCAGGACCGGAGACGAGCCAAGGCAGGAGCTGTGCGGGCATCTGGTCCTTTCATGCTGCCACAGCTCCTCAGCCTGTGGATTATCTCTGAGAGATTGAGATAGCCCCTGCACCCCACGCGGTTCAGGCGCTGGACCCACCCCCACCTCCTTTAGATTGTGTCCTGGTCTTTACCTCTAGACCATATCATCTGTCCTGAATAGCCCTCCCTTCCCTTTGTCACTTCCAAGTCCATCCAGACCGTCTGTATCCCTAGCCTCTGATCCCTCGTCTACTGTATCCCCCGCACTAGAAAACAACACAGAACATGGACTTCTGCTCCACCGTGCCTGCCATAGTACTTAAGTAGTCACGGAGGCTGTCCTGCAGGCCCAGACCCCAAGGATGAGGAATTTACCACACTTGAGCTATGTTTGGACAATGAATGACTGTGGGTATTTAGAACAGGGTTGAGACACTCACTGGGGGCTTCCTGTGCCTGTTAGCATCAGGTTGTGTCAGGGGATTGAGTATCACTAAGAAGGAGCATCAGAGGTCCTCCCCAAGGTCAATACAGCGACAAGGATGACAACCACGTAAAAGACAATGATAATGTACTACGGGTTCTCAACCCAGTTGTCTTGATACCCAATTCTCATTCACTCCACTTTAAACATAATCGCTCAGAGCAGTTAAGCTATTCACTTGAAGAAAAATAAAGGGCTAGCAAGATGGCCGCCTGGGTATAGATGCTTGCTGTCAAACTCCGCCACCTGAGTTCCATCCCTGGGATCCACATGGTGGGAAGAGAGAACTGAGTCCTTTACCCTGTTCTCTGATTACCACATGTGCATTGTGGTGCATACACACAAAATAAAATGTAATTAAAAATTTTTTAAAGATGCCAAGTGGCATTAGCTGCATGAACGATCTAGGCGCCATGGTTACAAACTGCAATGCTTACGCTTTGCAGAAAACTGGAAAGCAGAGAGGCAAAGGTAAGGCTGCAGCCAGAACCAGCCTCAGGTCTGCTCTGCCCTGTCTTACACAGCCTCACTCCTTATTCCTTCTGAGAGCTAAAGGAAACCATTTGCAAACAAGGCAGGACTCCATAGACCATGTCTCCTGGCCAGCAGGCGGCAGACCTAGCTAGGCACTTCCATTCTGCCTCCACCTTAGCACAATCACCCTGAGCTCCGGCCAGCTGTCTCCAGCTGAGCAACCAGACCACTTGGCCTCCAGGACTGAGAGGTAGTAATGAACAAGTAGGGCATAAAGAGCATGGTCTGGGTTATATCCGATACACAGTAGCTTGTCCTCAAATCACCAAGCCATGTACCTCAGAGGGGGATAAGCTTTCTCATCAATCCTTTCTACAGGGGAAGGGAATCCCATTCCTTGCCCCTATTTTGATAGCTATTCACACTGACATTCTCTCCCATTTGAGCCTGGCTCATTGTGCAGAGCCTCCTCAGAATGGGAGCTCACCAGTTTTTGTAACCACCTTTTTAAGATTTAAGTGTCAACTGGTTAGGAAGTTCTTCCTGACATACACCTTCTCTGTGGCTTTCCAGGCACTGTCCCTACAGAGATGATCAGCAGCTAGCTGGAGAAGGAGGGAAGGAGGGAGACAGACAGAGAGAGGAAGAAGCATACACAAACACACACACACACACACAGAGGGGGAAGGAACGAAGGAGAGAGAGGCGAGACAGAGAGAGAGAGAGAGAGAGAGAGAGAGAGAGAGAGAGAGAGAGAGAGAGA